CCTTTTTCTACATCTACTATTGAGGGATACAAATACTTTCTTACCATTGTTGATGATTGCACTCGCACTACCTGGGTGTATCTTCTTCGTCAAAAGTCGGATGTTCTTACTATTTTTCGTAACTTTTATACTCTCATCCTTACCCAATATCAAATTTCCATTAAATCTGTGAGATCTGATAATGCGCATGAATTGAGTTTTCATGCATTTTTCAAGTCCAAAGGCATTATTTCTTATCATTCCTGTATTGAGACTCCTCAACAAAACTCATTTGTCGAGCGTAAACGTCAACATATTTTAAATGTGGCACGTGCCTTACTATTTCAGTCCCATGTCCCTATTGTCTATTGGGACGATTGCGTCTTGACCGCTGTTTACCTGATAAATCGTACACCTTCTCCCTTGTTATCTAACAAAACTCCTTTTGAACTATTAACTAATAAAAAACCATCTTATGATCATTTATATACCTTTGGTTGTCTATGCTATTTCTCCACTTTCGATAGTCATTGCCATAAATTTTCACCTCGTTCTAGAGCTTGTGTCTTCCTCGGTTACCCCTCGGGCTGCAAAGGATATAAACTTCTCGACATCGAGAGCAATCAAATCATCATCACTCGAAACGTCATTTTTCATTAACATATCTTTCCATTTCTTTCATCTTAGTCACCTAATCCTATTCACAATGACTTTTTTCATGACTGTGTCTTACCTCTTCCTCTCCACACACCTACACACTCACCAGTTTCTTCTGATTCACCTTCCCACTCACCGCATGACACTTCCCAAATCCCACCACCTCGACCTCTACATCTCACACGACCACCTTCTTATTTGTCCGACTATCACTGCTACCATACAGATACACATGCACTTTACCCCATTTCCTCCTTCCTTACTTATACAAAGCTTACCCCTTAATATCACAATTTTATTTTTGCTCTTTCCTCCCACACTGAGCCTACCACCTTCTCTGAGGCTGTCCAGTCTGACGTTTGGAGGACAGCTATGAATGTGGAGTTACGTGCTTTGGAAAACAATAATACTTAGTATGTTGTATCTCTTCCACTTGGGAAAAAATCTGTTGATTGTAAGTAGGTTTATATCAAGCTGATGGGACCATAGAGAGACACAAAGCCCGTCTGGTTGCTAAGGGCTACACACAACAATTTGGCATTGATTTCATTGACACTTTATCTCCAGTTGCAAAATTAGTTACTGTAAAAATTTTGCTTTCACTAGCTGCTATTCATGGTTGTAGTCTGACTCAGTTAGACGTCACCAATGTTTTCCTTCATGGTAACCTTCAAGGAGAAGTTTTTATGAATATTCCTCCAGGATATTCTCCTCGAGAGGGGGAGATTTTTCCACATCAACTTGTTTGCCGGCTACACAAGTCAATCTATGGGTTGAGACAGGCTTCCCGACAGTGGTTTCACAAGTTCTCACAAGTATTACTTCAAGAAAGTTTCCATCAGTCACAATATGACCACTCATTGTTTGTCAAGCATCAGGGTAGTATTTTTCTAGCATTGTTGGTATATGTTGATGATATTGTTATTGCAATGTAATGATAATCATGCCGTCAATGAACTCAAAGTTGCACTCAAACAAAATTTAAGATGAAAGATTTGGGAACTCTCCGATATTTCTGGACTTGAAATTACAAGAAATGACACAAGCATCACTTATGTCAAAGAAAATATACTTTAGATCTATTAACTGAAACTGGGTACCTTGGTTGTAAGCCTTCATCTACTCCCATGGAACCAAATCAAAAGATATCCAAAGATGATGGAGAACCTCTGCGTGATATCACTAGTTATCGGCGACTGATTGAAAAATTATTGTACTTAACCATCACTCGTCTTGATATAAGCTATTTCGTTAATAAACTGAGTCAGTTCTTAACAAGTTGCCTTGCGGATTCTTCAGTACATCAAGAGAACATCTGGACAAGGTCTCTTCGTTCCTTCATCATCTACCATCCAAATTAAGGCTTTTTCTGATGCTGATTGGGGCACATGTCCTGATACTAGAATGTCTTTGACTGGTTATTGTGTTTTTCTTGAATGTTCATTAGTTTCATGGAAATCAAAGAAATAGCAAGTTGTGTCTCGATCATCTGCAGAAGCCGAGTATCGTTCCATGACCAATACTAAATGTAAAATAGTGTTGATTCTGAATTTGTTACGAGATTTAAAGGTACAACATCAAGGTCCTTCATTGCTTTACTGTGATAATCAGACGACTCTACACATTGCTTCGAATCTAATGTATCATGAGAGAACAAAACATATTGAACTTGACTGTTATTTTGTCCGAGAAAAAATTCAAATTGGTACTTGAAGATAATGCATATCAACTTGTGGATTTAATAACAAAAGTACTTCATCCTACGCAGTTTGACAATTTACTGAACAAAATGAGTACAATAAATTTGTATTCTACATCTTGAGAGGGAGTATCAAGATTAATAATTAATTAGTTTATTAATCATAACTGTTTTTGTCTTTTTCTTCATGCTATTGTACAAACAGCATGAGGTTGGTGTTGACAAAATATGAAATTATCAAAAAATCAATATCAAAAAATTTTCTTCTTCTTCTCTGTTCCTAACACATTGGAGCGGCATCGATCATTTTAGTAGGGACCTTGGAACTTGACCAACCTGAAAAACACGGGGTCAAATTTTCACTCCTTGGTTTTCAGGACTTTTCATAGACAGAAAACAATTATTTACCCGTCTCAGGTATGGGATGAGTGTAGATATATACATTTTTAAACGGTTCAAGTACGAGAAAATACACACCTGTCACATACTTAAATAATACTGGTTTTAGTGGGATCCTGATCCTGTGGTTGCCAGAGAGCACGATTGAGCTCACGGGAGCACGTGAGTTGATATCTCTCCTCTCCTCAACACATGCCCTTCAAATCACTCTCTCTCCTCCTCGATCGTCTCACGTTACGTCACCCTTTAGATGTACGCATACAACTTTTCAGGCCCTGAAGTGTTCGTTCATACCCCATAAGAAAGGAAAGCTTGTCGTACGGTACGAGGGTATTTGGCAAAAACACAGTAGCCGATAATTCCGTCTTATCCAAATCGTATAATATACTATACTGATTAGTGAGTGTATGTTATGTACAGCACAATTGTTCATTCAAACATACACTCGAAAACCTATGTAACATAGAAGGTTAGAGTTTCTGTTTTTATAGGTTTATTATTATATTATTACTGGTTTCGTGCTTGAGCTTCTTGAATCACGAGTTGTCGATCCATATCCTGCTGCTTTCATGGTTAGTCGTCAGACCCATACTTTCATGGTCGTATTATAGCTGTTTTTCTCTTCTTTTCATTTGTTTATATCCGTGTCCTTGACTTTATATATAATTCTGTGTTCCTGCGCAGAGCTATAAATGTGAATTTCTGAATTTTGAGGATTGGGTTTCATTTCTGCGGATAGAGAAGTTGAGGGAATGTCTGAGCTTTGTATCCACGGTGGTTTAGATGATTTTGCATACTGGGCTTCTGGTGGAGTGTGCAGGATTTACTCATTTGGATTTTGGAGGTTTAGAGTTTTGTAAAGTGAACGACTGATCCGAATCTTTAGGTATTTTTTGGGGACCCATTTCTGGTGATTTTATTGGTGGCTTTTTTCTGTTTGAGAATAGAATCATGAAGATAATTTTCAACGTTGTTGCTTTTCCATGTTTTCACGAGATAAAAGGTGGAAAGGGGGTTGCTTTTGTGTTACTGAAATGGCTGTGATTTTCACCCCAAGAGATTCTGGGGGACAAAGAATACGTAATATGATATTGATTTTTTAATTTGATTTTGTTTAGTTGGGAAAACTCTTCTTTCTTCTATTATGAGCGAAGATTTGGTAATTCCATGTTGGAGGATTTAGGTTACCGACATTCGCTTGTAAAGTTTCATATGAGTTAGTTTGATTAAAGAAGCTGGTGAGGAGAAATCCAAGAGGGAGCCCAAGAGATGTCAAAGTCTGCAAATGAAACTAACCGCTCTGGAAGCACTTCTGCTAAATCAGAACAAAATGCACGTGTTGTTGCACAGACTCGCATTGATGCCAAATTGCATTCAGATTTTGAAGAATCTGAACGTTTGTTTGATTATTCAACTTCGGCTGATATGAACTTATTGAGTTCGGCTAGCAATGTTCCCTCTTCAACTTTATCAACTTACCTCCAAAAGATGCAGAGAGGAAAGTTAATTCAGCCCTTTGGTTGTATCATTGCAGTTGATGAGCAAAACTTCACAGTTCTTGCCTATAGTGAAAATGCCCCAGAAATGTTGGAATTGGCACCACATGCTGTTCCAAGTATGGAGCAGCAAGAAGCTCTGACTTTTGGAAATGATGTAAGAACACTATTTCGGTCTCCAGGAGCTGCAGCCTTGCAGAGGGCAGCCAACCTTGATGAAGTTAATCTTCTCAATCCAGTATTGGTTCACGGTAAAACCTCAGGTAAGCCCTTTTATGCTATTTTGCACAGAATTGATGTGGGGTTAGTCATCGAATTAGAACAAGTGAATCCAGCTGAGGCGCCAGCGACTGCTGCTGGGGCATTGCAATCTTATAAGCTTGCGGCTAAAGCCATTTCAAGGTTGCAGTCCTTGCCTAGTGGGAATATATCACTTTTATGCGATACATTAGTTAAGGAAGTAAGTAAGCTAACTGGATATGACCGAGTGATGGTGTATAAATTTCATGAAGATGAGCATGGAGAAGTTGTTGCTGAATGCCGCAGACCTGATTTGGAGCCATATTGTGGTTTGCATTACCCAGCTACTGATATACCACAAGCTTCCAGATTCCTCTTCATGAAAAACAAGTAAAGATGATATGTGATTGTTCTGCCGCACCAGTGAAGATAATTCTAGACAGAGATTGATAAGCCATTGAGTCTTGATGGATCTATATTGAGATCTCTCATAGTTGTCATGCACA